GCTTTGCTCATTGCTTCCATCCCACCCAGGGGATTGTCAGGTTGCTCTGAGATACCTTTCCTGTATAACTAACACCTCTCTCTCCCATGTCTCCTAGGCTGCCTTGTCCTCTGGGTGAGATTGTGTCCTTCTGCAGTGCTGCTCCGTGGGAGGCTGCCCAGAGCACCTGTGTGACCGTGGAGCTGGTAAGGGAGACAGTGGCACTACGAAACAAGGACAGAGTAGAAAACTGAACAGGAGCCAAGGCTCCAAAGGTGGGAGGCCTGCAAAGCTCAGAGGTGTCCCATAGCATCACCAGTGAGCACAAACCGATGCATTTACCTGCGGCCAAAATCCTGGGGTGCTGCTTGGTGAGATGTTACAGTTGTTCTGAGTTGTAAAAGTAGGTTACTATGTCCCATGTGTGCCCATTTACCTCTAATTACTGGTCACAGATTGACCACAAACACTCGTTAACAACAAATTGCTGCCACACTCCAGCCAAAGTGTGGTGGGGAGGAACACGTGAGCTCTGCTCCGCAGGCAGGCACCACGCCGGGGTGGGGCAGCAGGTGAGAGTGCTCTGGCTCAGCTCAGGGAGGAGCAGAGACCAGGGCCCAAAACGGGGTGAAATGTTGGGTGCTGTGTCCTCCTGCTCACAGCACCGCTGGGTTGGGTTGGGAAGATTTGGGTTAGATTGGGTTGAGTTGGGTTGGTTTGGGTTTGGGTTGTAGTGGTCCAATTGGATCAGCCTGGTTTGGGCTGGGTTGGGTTGCGTTGGTTCAATTGGTTTAGCCTGGTTTGGGTTGATTTGGGTTGGTTTGGGTTGGGTTGGTTCAGGCCAGCCGATGGCTAAAGAATCACCTTGTGGCACACGATTACTTTAGTCAAACTTTTAAAGGCTGCTCAGAAATATAAAAACGTGCCATAAACTCCCTGGCAGTAAATCCCCGGTGTGGAGCCGCAGGGACAGTTCGGGTCGCCCGAGGGGTGAGCGGTGGGGACCGCGCGCCCTCTGCCGGCCCGGGGGGCACAGAGCTCCGGGCTCACGGAGCAGCGGACAGACCTCGTGTCCCGCTCAGTGTCACTACCGCACGGACAGACCTCGTGTCCCGCTCGGTGTCGATCC